TAACCTTTATTGACTTATTTATTTATTTATTGTTCCTAGGACTGGAACTAAGTTGCTGTACCTCTCAGGGGTGTTTTTGGGGCGATTTTTGAAACTAAGTTTATTTCCTCCCTGAGACGCGGTGCCTCGTCTCTACAGCAGAATGTCTGTAGTGGTTGCCAGAAGTGAGGAGTCCCCTCCTCTGGAAACTCTTGATGCTCGTCCGTCAGTACCAGGACAGGACTGGGCTAGAGATAATTGGTATAATTTGCAGAGTGTGACAGACCGCATGTGTTCGTTGCTTAAAGATGCCAGGCTTAAGGCTGGTAAAGGTAAAGCTATAGTGTGTGCAGTATTGGGAGCTAGCTTGGCAGCAGCGGTGCGAAGCCGAGCTGACCAGCAGCTTCACGATTGCCATTTGATCACGTCATTGCGAGACATGGTTGACTTGTTGCGAGATCGTGTGTATGGTCTTAAACATGAGATTGCTGATCTTAAGTCAAGGTTGGAGGAGGAGCAGGAGCAAAATTCGCTGTTGAAGCATGCTTTGTTTGATGAGTTATCTGCGCGGTGTGACACTGCAGCGGAAGCTGCTGTTGAAATGAGTGAAAAGGGCATTCGGTAGGTAGCCCCTATTTACCCCCAGCAGGAACTCCGACAAGCTAAGGCTAAGATAGAAGGAGTCCCTTGCTTGCGTCCTCTTGTTAAAACAGAATATAGTTACGAGGATAATGATGATTTTCGACCTTCTATTGTAACTAAGGAAATTCCCTACTCAGCTACGGAGTTAGCTAAACTGAAGAAGGAATTTGGGAGGAGTCCTAAAGAATCTGAAACTGAGTATGTTTGGCGTGTCTCAATGATGGGTGGGGATCAAATTTTATTGACTGAACAGGAAGCTGAGGGATATTGAGGACCAGGAGTATTTTTAACTACTGGAGACAGAAGGGCTCCTTGGTTACTTACACAGCGGGTAGCCTACTGGGCTGGAGGATTGAACCCCTTGGAAAGGGGTGACGCATTAGCCATTGTGGGAACCATGGATCAATTGTTAGAAAGTGTGCAGAAAGCTGCTTGTCTGCAAATGATGCATGATCGGCAGCTGAATCCTAATCAAGAATCCCCAATGTTGTTATTGGTAGATCCAGAACGCATGACTCCTTTAACCCGAGGACTTCCTGATGCTCTTAGACCTATTGCTATTCAATTGCAAAGACAAATACAAACCACTACACCCTTAGAACGATCTGAGGCTGCATCTTTGGCACAAGACCTTAGGTCCCAAAGATCTAAAGTATGGACCTGGGGGGATGTGGCCCAAGAACTTATTAATTACAATAGAAAATATGGGCCTGTTAACACCTCTGGTCTTCGATCAGATAAAAAGGAAATTCGGTGGGCGACTCCTCAGCCTTCCCCGGTGAAGGGTGAAGCAATAGAATCTCAAACATTGGCGACTACAAAAGTACACGATCCTAGCAGGAATAGGCAAGCACTTTGGGCTTTAGGCTGGCAGAAGGGTGTTCCACAAAACTTGATGCATGGACTTTCTACAGGAATCCTAAAAAAACTGGTGCTGTACTGGCCAGATAAGCCCCATAAGCCCTTCAAGGGAACTAGCAAGACAATGGAAAAAGCGGATGCCCCTCCTCTCACAGATTTTATCGAGTCAAACCCTAACCCAGCAGGGAATCAGGGAAACTAGATGCCTCTCTTCCTGGCGGTGAGGGGGGAGGTGGAGGCTGGATGTATCTTAGACAACTCACCAGTAATGATAACGGAGACCTGATGATTACAGTCATCGTGGGCCCCCGTAAAAAACCTGTAACGTTTTTGGTAGACACGGGCGCCCAGATCTCAGCTCTTAGAAGAGAAGATGCAAATGCTTGTGGTATTGTGAGTTCGAAACAGCCAATTCGAATTATGAGTGCATTTGGTGCTGCCCAGTTTGCTACTACCGCCTCAGTTAAAATATTACTGCCTGGCGAAGACAGTCTTATCACAGTCGTCATGGCAATAGGCGACTTTCCGTTAAGTCTATTAGGAATTGATGTTCTGCAAGGGCGAACTTGGGTGGATAATCATGGTAAGCAATGGGCATTTGGTAGTCCTATAATGCAGATACGTTTGTTGCAAACAGCACCAATCCTTCCTCCGTCCAAACTTACTAATGTTAAACCGTACCCACTGCCCCTGGGTGCAAGGGAAGGTATTGCTCCAGTGATTCAGGACTTAAAACAAAGAGAGATAATTATTCCAAGTCATTCTCCCTTTAACTCTCCAGTTTGGCCTGTCAGAAAACCTAACGGAAAATGGAGACTAACAGTGGACTACCGCAGGCTGAATTCAAACACTGCCCCTTTAACTGCGGCAGTCCTGAATATCGCCGAGCTTATTGCATCTATTCAAGAACGAGCTCACCCTATTATGGCTACAATAGACGTTAAAGACATGTTTTTCATGGTCCCACTCCAACCAGAGGACAGGAATCGTTTTGCCTTTACGTGGGAAGGTCAGCAATACACTTTTACCCGACTCCCACAGGGATATAAGCATTCTCCTACCCTAGCACACCATGCTTTAGCAAGAGAATTGGAGTTGGTCCCTAAAGAAGAAGGGGTAAATGTTTATCAATACATCGATGATGTCCTTATAGGGGGAGAAATGATAGAAAAGGTACAAACTACCCAGAATAACATCATCTCTCATTTGGAAAAATTAGGTTTACAGATCCCACCAGAGAAAATGCAAGTTCCTTCACAGGAAGTAAAATTTCTGGGAATCTGGTGGAAGGGAGGGATGACATGTATTCCACCTGACACTATCTCTTCCCTAGAGCAAATTAAAACGCCTGAATCTAAAAAGGAGTTACAACATGCGCTAGGATTGTTGGTTTTTTGGAGAAAACATGTACCTGATTTTTCTGTTATAGCAAGACCTCTACACGATTTATTACGGAAGGGAGTCCAATGGCAGTGGACTGAAGTTCATGAAGAAGCTTTAAAGTTACTGATATTTGAGGCTACTGCACACCAAGCCCTGGGCCCAATTCACCCTTCTGATCCAGTTCATATTGAGTGGGGCTTTGCTCAAAGTGGTTTATCTGTACACTTGTGGCAAAAGGGTCCACAGGGACCCGTTTGGCCTATTGGTTTTTACTCTCACAGCTTCAAAGATGCTGAGAAAAGATATGCCACCTGGGAGAAGGGCTTGTTTGTAGTAAGCTTAGCTCTGCGAGAAGTTGAGAGGATAATCCGACAGCAACCTATTGTGCTCAGAGGTCCTTTTAAAGTACTTAAACCAGTGCTTTCAGGAACTCCACCCCCCGACGGGGTGGCCCAAAGGGCATCAGTGAGAAAATGGTATGCTCAGATTGAGCATTATTATGAGATTTTTAAGGTAACAGAAGGAACTTCCATAAAGTTATCAATTCAGGAAGAGCTTGGGAAAGAAATCACTACAACAAATCTATCCCCTGTGATTCTGGTAGCTCCTCCATTTACCAAACAACTAAAAAACGCTTGGTTCACAGATGCCTCTGCCAAACGTGAAGGAAAGACATGGAAATATAGAGCAGTCGCCTTGCAAACTGACACCGAAGAGCAGATAGTTACAGAAGGAGATGGTAGTGCACAAGTAGGAGAGCTAACAGCAGTATGGAGCGTCTTTCAGCATGAATCTCATACTTCCTCTCCTGTCTATATCTATACTGATTCTTATGCTGTCTTTAAAGGGTGCACTGAATGGCTTCCTTTCTGGGAACTAAATGGGTGGGAGGTTAATCGCATCCCCGTCTGGCAGAAGGAAAAATGGCAAGATATTTTAACTATTGCCAGACAGGGAAATTTTGCTGTGGCTTTGGTAGCCTCTCAACACAGTAATGGCTTGGGTAGCCTCTCCCCAAGATAACAACTCCCCTGCGAGCCAGTGGAACAGAAAGGTAGATGAATTGGCCCACTTAGCACAATTACAAATCACCCCCATAGCAGAAGTCTGGGAGAGGCTTCTGGAATGGTTGCACATTAAGAGAAAACATTCTGGATTTAAAGATTTGTATTGTGAAGCCCACTCTCGTGGGTGGCCTGTCACCCGAGAACAGTGCAAAACCTGCATTTCTGCCTGTGAACAATGTCGTACTTGACTTGACAAACACCCCCTGGAAAGTGATCCGTTGCATTTAAGAACTGGGAAGGGACTTTGGGAAGCTTGGCAAATAGATTACATTGGCCCTTTCCGAAAATCAGAAGCTA